TATTTATCTAGATCAGTATGTAATTGAAATGTTCATCAGTAGTAGAATAAATAAATTGTGGCATGTTCATATAGTAGAAAGCTATGAAGGACAGTGAAATGAAGGATACAATTTACAAGAGTGAATCCTGATGTGGGGCCATGAGCAAATGGTCAAAGAATTCTTGAGACATTCTCAGTGCAAAAAGGTGCTTTTATTATAGTGTGGGGACAGGGCCCATGGGCAGAAAGAGCTACACTTTTGCTATATGAACCTGGTGGTTATATGCTTAGTGTTCAAGGGTCAGGGAGTATGCAGGGAGTATTAGATAATAAATATCTTCTTTGAATTTCTACTTATAAAATTACTTTTGCAAGATTTCTCTGGTGCTTATCGTTCAGCTCAATATTAACTATCTGTGAGATGTACAGACGGTCATGAGATCCTTTAAGAATATAGCAACGAGCAGTGTTTGATTCTTATCAAAACTGTGCAGGCTGTAGGTCAGCCTTCTTGGCTAAAGGTGATCATTTTCCTGCTTTTATCCTCATCAAATCTCAAATGTTGAATGAAGGTCACAAAAAAAAAATACACATACAGTATGCTTCTCCTTTTAAAAAGTTCATAGATATGGTAGGCAGAATTATGGCCCCCTAAAAATGTTTACATCCTAACCTATGAATATGTTAGGTTACATGGCAAAGGGGAGTTAAGGCGCTAATCAGCAGTCATTAAAATAAGATTATCCTGGATTATTGGGGGAGCAAGGAGAGATGCGCAGGATCCTTAACATGTTATGGGATCCTTAAAAGCGGAAGGAGACCCAGAGAGGGCAGCATCAGGCCTCTACCTGACATCGCTGGCTTGAAGATGGAGGAATGGAACTATCGGCCAAGGAATGTGGATCGTCTCTAGAAGCTGGAAGAGAGAAGGAAATAGATTCTCCCCTAAAAGCTCCAGAAGGAATGCAACCCTGCCAATACATCTTGGTTTTAGTCCACCATTGAGACTTATTTCAGACTTCTGACTTCCAGAAACATACAATAATGAACTTGTGTTGTTTTAAGCCCCTGAATTTGTTACAGCAACAATAGGAAACTAATACTAAAAATGATGAAGGGTTAAAATTGTCAAGGAAATGATTATCACTAAAATCAGTAGATTGGTTTCTCTTTTGGAGAGGGAAAGGGTTATGATTGGGAAGAGCTCCACTGGGGCTTCTAGGGTACCGGCAGTATCTTATTTATTGGAAAATATGTATGTTTTATGCTGTCTTCTGCATGTATGAAGCTTAACATCATTGCTTTTATAACCAGAAAGAGTTTTAAGAATAATACATATCCATAGTTTTTTTAAACTGAACATTTTTTATTTTTTATTATTGATGTTTATTTGTTTTTGTGTGTGAGAGAGACAGAGCGTGAGCAGGAGAGAGGCAGAGAGGGAGACACAGAATCCAAAGCAGGCTTTAGGCTCCGAGCTGTCAGCACAGAGCCTGACATGGGGTTCGAACTCACGAACTATGAGATCATGACCTGAGCCGAAGTCAGACACTTGACCTGAGCCACCCAGGTGCCCCCTGAAGGTTGTTTTTTGAAGTCATTTTAAAACACATTTCTTTGACTATAAAATTATTTCTTTCTTGAGAGAGTATGACAAAAAATATTTTTTATAAACCATTAGTACTTTGCAATATTTTCCATAATATGATCAATGACCTAAATGACTCTTTCGTGAATTTACTCAGTTAACATAAGGAAGAAGCTACTTATCTTCCCAAATTGAAATAAAAATACAGTTTAAGTGGAAGACCTTATAAGAATCCTTAATTCAAGGGCTCCTAGGTGGCTCAGTCGGTGGGCTGAGCAGGCGGCTGGGTAGATTTAAATTTGCTAAATATTAAAAAAATTATTGAGATGCATCTAAGCCTAGTGTATATCTTGCTGTTATTTTTTTCCCCTCCCTAGTTCGGGGACAAAAAAAAAAAAAAAAAAAAAAAAAAAAAAAAAAAAAAGAAGTGGTTTGTTTCATTTTCCTAGATTTTAAGTAATTTAACTCTGTAATACACATATTAGGCAAACTGACTTTCAGTAGTCCCTGCTTTGTTGCCTGGAATTGTCATTTTAGAGGGTTAAATTTAAATAAGGTTAAATTTAAATAAAATTTAAATGAGATTAATTTCTTTCATTTCTTCGACTTCTTTTAAAAGTTTATTTTTTTAACTAATTTCTACACCCAACATGGGGCTTGAACTCATGACCCCAAGATCAAGAGCCACATGCTCTTCCCACTGAGTCAGCCAGGTGCCTCTCTTTTCTTCAACTTTTAGAATTATACTAATAAAATTTAAACAGGAATTGATAAAAAATAATTCTTGTTGCATTTAGTAAGAAAGAGGTTGTTTACGGTGTGATTCTGTAGGAAATTTTTAGTCTTAAATTAACCGAGTCTTTGACTTTCTCCTAATGAATACAATATGGGGAGGCATTTTGGCAAGATGGTGATCTGTTTCCCAACTTCAGAGTAAGCAACTCTGAGGCTTGCAGGCTGGTGTGGCCTGGAGGGAATATGTAAGTTTGGGGAACATACTGTGACTGAAATGAAGACAAGAGGCAAAAGCCTATGGAGCAACTATCACAATTTTTGAGTTTTCAGTAAGAGTTGTGCCTCTGAGTGGAAGCTTCTGGTGCATTGTAGAGATTGCTTCCTCAGTCTTCGTGTTAACTGCCATTCAGGGTACTCTGGCAGCTTGATCTGAGCTCCAAGGATGAGGCAAGCCATGAATTAGCAAAGGAAAGTAATTCACTTGAAGGAACTTAAGCAGCCAGAGGTAGGATGAACAAGGATTGCATCAAGAACAAGTGACTTCAGTGAAATAGAACAGAAATAGAAATTGGAAGTGATAGATGACAGATTTAATAGGCAAAACAAGATAAATTATCCTAGATTTTCAGGAGAAACAAAGTGACTTGCTTCTAATCATAGCATAAAAGAAAATGAAGAAAAGGGGGGAGCTTTTTTATGTATTAATTTGTGGAAAGGATGATTATTGTTGAGACTTAAATTCCTGGTCTGGAACATTAAGTAGAAGAGTATACCAAAACAGAAAAATAAATAAGTAAGTAAGTAGGTAGGTAAGTAAATAAAAAAGAGAGAGAGAGAAAGAGAAAGAGCAAATGGAGGAGATGCAACAACTAAATGTATAATAGGAGAGCATTTCTCTGATTTGAAGAAAGGTTGAGTTCCAGACCAGAGTGTTGAAGATGATGGGGGCACAAAAAAAACCAAGCTGTTTACAATGAAAAATCATCAAGATATGTGCCAGACTATGCAAGGGGACACTGGAAACTTAGAAGATAGTAAAATAACATCTACAGATTTCTGAGAAAGGAACTGTGCCTATACCTAGCCAAGTATTATTCACATGTTTATGGTGAAAGCAAGATACTTGTGGATATGCAGGAACTCAGGTCCTCCATTTAGGAGAAGCTTTCAGTAAAGGATTCTCACCAAATAATTGCAAACAGAGACTTTAAGATTGGGCAGAAGAAGAGAAGAAGAGAAAAACAGTAGTAAGCAAATGAATCTCACAGTATATTTAACGAAATCTAAATGGATAATGATAGAGTGACTGTATTTCAGCACATTCCTTTGTCTTCAGCACTTCCTGAAAGTTTGCAAACGCTTGATTAGACGCAGGTTCTGTCCTTCTGGCAAGACCACAAATGATGTTCTCTTCTACAGGGAGGCATACAACTTCTGATTGTCATTGTTTTTAATTTTTTTTTAATGTTTATTTTAGAGACAGAGTGTGAGTGGAGGGAGGGGCAGAGAGAGAGAGAGACACAGAATCTGAAACAGGCTTCAGGCTCTGAGCTGTCAGCACAGAGCTCGAGGCGGGGCTTGAACGCTCTAAATGCAAGATCGATCTTGACCTGAGCTGAAGTCAGATACTTCAACTGACTGAGCAACCTAGGCGCCCCTTGTAAAGATAGCCGTTAATACACAATTCTAAACTTTTGTTTTGTTTTGTTTTTGTTCTTGAAAGAGAAGGAGAGGGAGGGCCAGAGAGAATCCCAAGCAGGCTCCACACTGTCAACAAAGAGCCGGACATGGGGACTTGATCCCACAAACTATGAGGTCATGACCCTAGCCGAAATTAAGAGTTGGACACTTAACCAACTGATCCACCCAGGTGCCCCAATACCCAATTCTAGATTCTATCATTACTTTTCATTTATAGCTAGAACGCTTACACAAAGATGCCTCTCTTCATCTGTTTGGTTTAGTCAGTGGTACAGTTCATATAGGGAAGGTGAGATAAATGTTTGATTTTTTCCCCTTAATCAGTTTACAAGATAATGAATTGGTTCTCTATTATCTTTTGGTGTGGGAGGTGGGAGAGAGATATCATTATAAACTAGTATTATTCAATATATGTGATAGATTTGAGTCCTTTGCAAGTATTATCCTTATTGAAGCTCAAATTGTCTCATCTTTGGCCAGTTGGAGCAAAAAATGTTTCCTGAATCCTTTTGACATGACCCTGATAATCTTTGTAAAGAAAAGGGCAGTATTTTTTGTTCAGTTTTGCTTTGCTTTTCCAAAAACCTCAGAATGTTTCTGTGCTTTTGAGAAGGTGGATTTTAGGGATGCATTGTTTCCTAGGATATTTGATACTTAGTATGATCTTTGGTGTAATTGTAGGCAGATGTGCCTTAGAATTTGTGTTACTTGCAAAAAATAATGGTTTTATTTTTTTCAGTATATGTGGATATTCAAAAAGAATCAGTATTTCCCGGCAAAAAGATGTAGAGGCATATGTTAAAATGTTTTTTTCAATAGATTAATAAGTATATGAATGTTTACTCTGGACGAGTCTCTACAGTGGGAACTCTGGGGAATTCAAACAATTATGAAACCTGCTTACTTACCTAACATTTCAATAAAATAAGTTCCATTTATTAACATTTCAATAAAATAAGTTCCATGTAAAATAATATACATTATTCTTCTTTCAGATCTGTCACGAAATCGCCTCTCAGAAATTCCCATAGAAGCATGTCATTTTGTTTCTCTTGAGAATCTCAACTTATACCAAAATTGTATTCGGTATATACCAGAAGCAATTCTAAACCTACAAGCTCTAACATTCTTAAATATTAGGTAAGGATGTTGTTTTTGTTGTTGTTGTTTCTTCTTCTCCTCCTCCTCCTCCTCCTCCTCCTCCTCTTTTCTTCTTCTTTTTTGATTTTTGGTTTCATGTAGTCTTTTCAGTTCTCTCTTGGCTTTCACTAAAATTTACATTATCTGTTCATATCTGCAGTATCAATACATGTTCTTAGGCTGAATTAACAATATTTCCTATGTCCTCCTTGTTTCTCCCTTTGTCTTTAGCTTTGTAACTATAAATGTCATTAGTCTGATAGGATTGCGACAGTCTTATGACTGTGGTTCTCCAGTTAGATTTTCAAATAAGCTTCATCAAATGAGGATAGTAGATCTGAAAGTACTTTCATTCTTGTGATTATTTATTTTTGTGTACTGAGTTCTGAATGTGTAAATGCATTTATTTGACTCATTTCCATTTTTTTATATCTTAGAAGACTTTTTTTTTCATTATAAAAGTTATAAATGTTCATTGGAGAAAATGAGGAAATGTAGAGAGGTATAAAAGATATTCATCAAAATGTTGTATCTGAGTTTTTTAATTATAGGTGATATTTTCCTTTTTCTCCAGGCTTTTAGTCAAATTTTTAAGTGAGTTTTTCCCCTCGTCATGAAATACTCAGGAAATATTTTATACGTAAACATTTTATTGTATAGTTTATATACTTCTAAAACTCGTTTTCCCTCTTGGATATTTAGTTTATTTCAGTTTTTTGCCATGCTAAAAGTAGTATTAACAGAGGCTCTGATATGTAAATGTTTATTTTTCTCTTTCCTTAAGATAAATGTCTAGAAATAGAGTTATTTAAAAAGCTTTAAAGGCTGATGATCTATGCTAGTAAAATCAGCAAAAGATTTTGAAAATGGGGCCAATTGACCCTAGAGAGTAAAAAGTTAAATCTATAAAAGTAATATTTTAACTTACTTTTATCCTAATGATAGATGTGTACTTTTAGCTCTGATTTGCATATTTTTATATAAATAAAAGATTTCTATACTTCAGCTGACATGATATATTTAAAATCATAACCTGTCACTATAGAACTATATTTGAATCATTTATGTACATTTGATTATAATGTATGTAATGATGAGAGAAGTAGATTGATTACAACTACTTTTATGTTTATAACCCTTTTTTAGTAGGAAGGGGAGAGGGTGATAGTCATCTATCCTTTTTTTTTAATGTTTATTTAATATTTATTTAATATTTGAGAGAGACAGAGACAGAGCATGAGCAGGGGAGGGGCAGAGAGAGAGGGAGACACAGAATCTGAAGCAGGCTCCAGGCTCTGAGCTGTCAGCACAGCTGACGGAGCTCGAACTCAAGAACTGCGAGATCATGACCTGAGCTGAAGTCAGACGCTTAACCGACTGAGCCACCCAGGTGCCACTACCTTATTTTTTTTTTAATGTTTGTTTATTTATTTTGAGAGGTGGGGGAGTGGGGGGAGTGAATCCCAAGCAGGCTCCATACTCAGTGCAGAGCCTGATGTGGAGCTTGATCTCACCAACCATAAGATCATGATCTGATCCAAAATCAAGGGTCAGACACTTAACTGACTGAGCCACCCAGGTGCCCCTACCGTATTTTTAAATTACTTTATCTAGGGGCGCCTGGGTGGCGCAGTCGGTTAAGCGTCCGACTTCAGCCAGGTCACGATCTCGCGGTCCGTGAGTTCGAGCCCCGCGTCAGGCTCTGGGCTGATGGCTCAGAGCCTGGAGCCTGTTTCCGATTCTGTGTCTCCCTCTCTCTCTGCCCCTCCCCCGTTCATGCTGTGTTTCTCTCTGTCTCAAAAATAAATAAACGTTAAAAAAAAAAAGTTTTAAATTACTTTATCTTACATAAAATTAACTTGAATAAAGTAATAATATGTGTTTATGTAGCACATCATTATAGAAAGGAGTTTTATGGTACAGGGCCCTGTAGGATAGGTAGATAAGGATTAAAATCCTCAATTTACAGATGAGGAATCTATAAAAAGCAGATAAGTTAAATATCATGCCTAAAACCACAAAGCTGATAAGTGAGGAAATGGAGGCTAGAACCCAAATCTAATACCCTGTTTGCTCCTTCCATGACTTAATGTTTGTCACTTTACTGAGTATAGGATGGGAAAGATGAAAATTTTTTTCTTGAATGGTGGGTTCTAATTATTTTCTTCTTCTACTTACCCATTTAGTCGGAACCAGCTGTCAACATTGCCAGTACATTTGTGTAATTTACCATTGAAAGTCTTAATTGCTAGTAATAACAAATTGGTGTCACTTCCAGAAGAAATTGGACATCTCAGACACTTAACAGAACTTGTAAGTTTTTACTTTTTTATTGCTCCACATGTATGTGTATCCATAGTCATACCATATTCTGTTTTGTAGTAAGGAAAGATTCAATATTAAGGTGTCTTTTTGAGTTTTTCCAGGTATCAATAGTGAAGTTTTGCTGGTTGATCAGTACTGAAATGCTTCAGCACAGAGTTAAGCAAGAACTGAAAGTACAAGTCTAATAGGCCCACGGGGAATGGGACAAAGTCATCAGAATTAAACTCTAACCAATATTAAGTGATTTCTATGCTAATAAGCTTTTGAGATATAAGTTAACAATGCATTTAGATTTTTACATTAAATCTCAATAGCATCAGTGTTCTGATTTGGGGTGAGCCCCTCTCGGGGACTGGACACTGCAAAGATCAGGCTTATTTTTTTTGCCTTACATGCTATCTCTAGCACCTAGCTCCCTCTCTAAAGTAAGCTATTCTTTACTGCCTTCTGTTTTCTAAGAAGCTTAACTTTGATGAACCACTCCTTGTTACTCTTTAGTACTTATGTCCTGGGCATGGGAATGAGACTTTTCCCATTTAATCACCATAGTAACATTATGAATTAGGTATAATACTTATCATCTTATTACAGCTGAAGAAACTAGCACTTAGATAGGTTAAGTAATTTGCCCAAGGTTCCATAACTGAGGTAGAATTTTAAACCAATCTACCTTAACTCCAGAGCCCACATTTCATATTTCTGAAATGGTCCAATACAGTTATGTCCATTGAAATTTGGGAGGATCATTCCATGTAGGTTTATTAACAAAGATAGACATCATGGACAAAAAATACATGTATAATTTAACTGGACCACACAGTAGCTCTCTCTTTTTTTCAGGTGGATTATGAATGTAAACAATCACATGTAAAAATTCACAAATATGTTAAATCTGGAGTCTAGATACTAGACTACTATTTATTTAGAGGCAGTTAGATCTAGGAAATAAAGTCAAAAATGTATGTTTGTTTATTCAGAACCCGGTTATTTTTTTTATTTTATTAAAATAATTTTTTTTTT